TGAGGTTCCTTTCGGTTCCTAAAGATTCCCCGAGATTCTTGGAGATGCCCGGAGATTTTTTAAGATGTCTAACGCGTCCTGACGGCCCCTTAAGATTCCGAGCGTTCCCCTGAAATCCCCAGAGATTCTCAGGGATGCCCAAGGATTCTTCAAAATTCAGAAGGGGTCCCGAGAGTTCCCACATCCTAAAGAAACCATGGAATTCCTAGGATTCCCGAGGGCGCCCAAAGATCCCCAGATATTCGCAGCGATCCTTAGATATTCCAAGAAATCCCTAGATATGTCTAGGCATCTCTCGAAATTCATTCCCAGAGATTGCTTGAGATTCCTCGAGGTGCCCATCGGTTCCTGAGAGGTTCCGAGAGATGCCAGAAGAGTGCCCTGGACAAAAACAACAGGTTCCTCAGCTATTCCAAGAGATTCTCAAACAAAGGTCCCTGCATATTCGAAGAGGTCCCTAACGCATTCATCGAGATTCTGACGGATTCCCAGAGATCCCTAGACATCCCCAGATCATCCCAGGGATTCCTCGGATATTCCCAGGGATTCCTCGAGATCCCCAGAACATCCGAACGAGATTCCCACACATTCCTTTTCTCTCCTTTCCTTTTCTCTCCTCTCCTCATGTCCTCTCCCCTCCTCCTTTTCTCTTTTCTCCTCCTTTCCTCTTTTCTCCTCCTCTTCGTTTCTCTCTTCCTCTTCGCTCCTCCCCTCCTTTTCGCCCCTCTCCTCCTTTTCGCCCCTTTTTCTCTCTTCTCCTCATTTTCTTTTCTCTCCTCCATCTCTCTCCTCTCATCCTTTTCTCTCCTCTCCTCCTTCTCTCTCCTCTCCTCACTTCCTCTCCTCTCCTCTTCTCTCCTCTTCTCCTTTTCTCTCCTCTCCTCCTTTTCTCTCTCTCTTCTCCTTTTCTCTCCCCTCCTCCTTTTCTTTCATCTCCTCCTTTCCTCTCCTCTCCTCCTTCTCTCTCCGCTCCTCCTTTTCTCCCCACTCCTCCTTTTCTCCTTCAGTCCGCGCCGGAGGCCGCGTCGGAAACCGAATCGGAAGCTGTTTCTGGAACCGTTTCGGGAGCCGTTTCAGAGGCCGTTTCGGAAGACGTTTCGAAAGCCAATTCGGGGGCCGTGTCGAAAACCGTTTCGGAGGCCGTTTCGGAAACCGTTTCTGAGGCCGTTTCGGAGGCCGTGTCGGAAACCGTTTCGGAGGCCGTGTCGGAAACCGTGTCGGAAGGCGTTTCGGAAGCCGTTTCGGAAGCCGTTTCGGAAATCGTGCCGGAGGCCGTGTCGGAGGCCGTGTCGGAGGCCGTGTCGGAGGGCCGTGTCGGAGGGCCGTGTCGGAGGCCGTGTCGGAGGCCGTGTCGGAGGCCGTGTCGGAGGCCCTGTCGGAGGCCGTGTCGGAGGCCCTGTCGGAGGCCGTCCGAGGCCGCGTCGGAGCGCGTCCGAGGCCGTCCGAGGCCGCGTCGGAGCGCGTCCGAGGCCGCGTCTTCTCCTCTCCTTCTCCTCTCCGTCTCCTCTCCCCCCCGGGAATTCCTGGAACCCGGAACCCTAGGGTCCCGGGTCTTCTCCTCCCGGGACCTTGAAGAGTTTTGAAACACCCGGAAGCCTCGGAATTCCGTGTTTCCACCCCTGGAATTCCAGGTTTTTTGTCGAAAAGCCCCTTTGGTTCCTGCCCAGCGCTCCCCGTAGTGGCGCGAGGGCTGCACCGCCACTGCACCCACGCGGGGCCCGTGGGGGGTCCACGCGGCCACGGGCAGCGCCTCTGCTCTCACCAAGCGCACCCGCTGCTGGCCAGGGCGGCGCATCTGCGCCTCCTCTGGGGCCGGGCGCCGTCTCAAACACTCGGGGATGGACAGAACCCCCACCCTGACACGTCGATTAGTGAATTGTCCGTTTTCGGCCCTCCAGAGGGCGCCGCGACCGTCATTTTCCAGGCCTGCGCCCGCCAGGTTTGGGCCCGAGGTCGTTTTCACTAAACCACGTTTTACTAAAGGGGGTTTTGTCCATTCCCGAAACACGCTGCTCGGGTACGCGGGCCGTCACGAAACGCTCAACGTGCCGCGACCCTGGCCCTCCTCCGTCTCACTCGCACGGCGGAGCGGCCCGTCCACACTTCCGTCGACAGCCGAGCCTTCGTCGAAGGGCTCCAGGCCCCTGTGGGAGGGGGGCGCGCTCCCGCCATGGAGGCTCACGGGGACCTGTGGGAACGCGCCCGTCTCGCTGAGCAGGCCAGAGCCTGGCATGCGCGGGGTCGAAAAGGTGGCCAGCCACCTGGGCCCAGTCGGCATCAACGCCGGGCTCATCTCGGCAATCGCCGAACGCTTCAACCGCCACGCCGACGGGCACGCCACCGGCGCCGTTGCTCTGCGCGGCCTCCCCGCCGAAGCGGCCCAGGCCGCCAAGTAGGGCCGGGCCCAGCAGGCCCCGAAGACACCCTTAGAACGATCTAAGATGCCTCCGAGATGGCCAACGCAACCAAAATTACAATGTCCCAGGGGATTTTGTTTCCAAGCATTTTCGCTGTTGGGTGTCAGCAGGACCCAAAAACGGCCGAATAGAACCCCACGACCGCCCCAAGACGGCCCAAGAGGCCCCAAGAGGGACCCAGGACGGTCCGAGAGAGCCCCAACACGGTCCAAGAGGCGCCCAAGACAGCCTAAGAGGGGTCCAAGAGGGGCAATTCGAGCTGACATTTTGAGCCTTCCGCCACAAGTTGACCCCCGAGGCCGCCAGCAGGCCCCTAAGAGGCCCCCAGAGAGGCCCAAAGCGGGCCCCAAACGGCCCCAAAGAGGCCCCGAGAAGCTACGGAGCTCGCTCCACGAGGCGCCCGAGAAGCATGCCAAGAGACTCCGAACTACAGGTGTCCAAGAGGCTTCTGGCCCAAAACTCAGGCACGATGGCGGTATGGACCAAAGGCCATGGATAAGCAAACATTTAGCCTGGCGACGGACTCATCCTCATGCAGTCACTTGTAGCGCAGGGCGCAGCCCTCGCGTCATATACTGCGCGCCGCGAGACTGCGCTGATAGCGGGCTGCTGCGGAGCAGGCGTGCGCAGGCGCGTTCAATTTCGTGTGGGGCACGATCCGCGTGAGTGGGGTGCCGAACCATCCAGGTGCCCTCGCGCGAACCTGCCCACTGAGGCCGCAGGTGGAGCTCCTTGTGGGGCACGACCCGTGCGAGGCATGTGCCTGAGTGTGCAGGGGGACGCCATGGCAAGTTGCCCGTCGGTGCCATAGGCGGAGCTTGTTCCCAGGTGCGGTTCGCGCGAGTGGTGTGTTGACACGGGCGGAGGGGCGATTTCAAAAGTTTGCCTTTGGGCTTGTGGGTGGTGCTCCCTGTGGGGCGCGTTCCGAGTGAGGGGTGTGCCGCAATGGGCGGCAAGGGGCGCCATGAGAGCGTTGTCTCGGGGGCCGTCGGTCGAGCTCTCCTTGGGTCACGTGAGAGGCGTGCCGAGGTAGGCGGGGGGGCGGGATGCGAGCCGTGTTTCTGGGGCCGTGGGTGGATCCCCTTGCAGGGCACGAGCCGACGTGAGCTGGGAGACTCTATGCGAAGCTTCCCTCGGAGTGCAGTTGCCAGCGGGGCGGCACGATCCACGTGAGGGGTGTGCCGCTGTGTGCGATGGAGCCGCATGTGGAGCGCCCCGTGGAGCAAGATCCCCGTGAGGGGTGTGCCGAGGTGGGCGGGGTGCCGCAGGTGGAGCTGGATGAGAGGGCACGATCCGTGCGAAGGGTGCGCCGAAGTAGGCGGGGAGTCGCTATGCGGACACGTCTGCCCACGAAGCGCAGGTGTTCCCGCACGGCGAGTGTGGTGGGGTGCCGTGCGCACCGATCCGCTGATTGATCTGACGCTGGCTCGGCCTTGGCTAGAGCAGAGGCGCGCGAAGCGCGCGCGTTGTTCCAGTTCGTATACTCAAAGATCGCAGGTCCTCCGCATTGCAAGAATTCTCTGGAGGGGCCTGAGAGCATCGGTTGTTGAAGGGCTAGTTCCAAGAGGGGTCCTGAGTTGCCGGCATGCCGTGCCGAACCAATGTGGAGGTTCGTGGCGGAGGCTTGTGGCAGAATTCCAGTCCTCCTGGCGAAGCATGGTGCGGGGCGAAGCATGGTGCCAGTCGTGGAGCCAAGCAGATTTCGAGTTGTTGGCAAAGCAGGCTCAAACAAAGACGGAGGCTAGTTGCACTGATCTGTGTGAGCAAGTGGCATAGGCTAGTCGGGGCGATCTCCAAGTTCTAAACCCATCTCACAAGCTTTACGTACGTACGACCACTCTTGGGAGACTTTGGAGAACTACTGCAATATCTATCAGGGATCGTCTCCAAATGGGCTCCTCGTGTTTGAGATTGCAGCGCCAATGACTGTGTGCAGGATGCATCACACTGTGATTTGTTGGCCCAACTGTTATTAGCGTGACGTTTCTCATGAATATGTTTCTCCTCATCCTGATCCTCGTCCTTGCCTGTCCTATATCTGCCAGAACAAGCTTTGCACACAAGTCGATCCCGGGATTAATCGATCGATGGGTGTTTTCTTGTAGGGCAAGGTTCTCCACAGGCGTACACGGGGTGATGGCGGATTTGGGGAGCGGATCTCCATTTTGCACGGTCTGGCCGCACAGTAGCGAGGCGTGACCGCAGGCGATCGTTGGAAGAATAATCGCCAATCGCGCGACCCGCTGGGATTTGCTGGGCTGTCGTTTTTTCGTTGTGCCGTTCGTTCGGCTTTGACTGGTTCGAGCGCTTGATGGTCGCGATTGACACAGGGCTGCAGCCTTCAGCGCGATTGGCGGGGACCACGCAATGTGCGTGTGTCGAAGTCCATTGGCACTGCCCATCGCCCGACACGATTCCAGAATTCATCTTGGGCGTTGCCACTTCATCCTTGCGCTCCATCAGCGTGTTTACTTTTCCTGGTCGCCCCAGGGCACGGGTGCTAAGCGTGCAGTATGGAAAGGGAGCGCAACGGATAGCAGGGGGCGAGACGAGGGCGGAAAGAGGCAGTGTCTGCGGTCGGAGGTGTTCAAACAAGACGCAGCCCGGCTTCCTCTTCCCGCTGAAGAAGTCGTGCATCTTCGTCACTAAGCCGGTCATATGGATACGATACGAGGACATAGAGAGCATCGAGATCAATTCCGGCGCAGCGATGATCCGTAGGAACAGTTTCGATCTGACCATCACCGTGAAGGGGAACAAGGCTGCACGGTCCTGCAAGCATGGGGGCAGGAGGGCGAGGGGAGGAGGAGGAGGAGGAGGAGGAGGAGGAGAGGAGAGGAAGGAGGAGGAATGATGGGAGGAGGAGGAGGACGGCGGGAGCGGAGGGAAGGGGGAACGGAGCAGGGAGGTCGAGGAGGACGGGGGGAGCGGCACGGAACGGAGAAGGGAGAGCTGGGGGGAGGCTGATGTGGGGGAGGAGGAGGGAAGTATTGACGACACGGGCGTGCGCGCCCAGCGGCCTGTTGGAGAGAAAATAATTATAGCCGGAGTGCAGTATCCCCAAACAGGGTTTTTAGGCCCACTGCGGTTTCCAAGGTCGATTGCGTGCCCGTCCAGTGCGGGCTGGCATGGCATGTTAAAATATGCCTCCTCCTCCTCCTCCTCCTCCTCCTCCTCCTCCTCCACCTCCTCTTCATCCCGAAGGGCATCTCGGAGCCCAGAGTTGCGAGGATGTCTCCAGCGTGTCGGGCTGGACCACCTCGCGCGCGGCATTTCGGACCCCAGATTTGCGACGATGTCTCGGGCGAAACGTGCTGCGAGGAAGTCTCAGGCGAAACGGGCCGGACCACCTCGAGCGCGGCGTCTCAGAGCTCCGAGTTGCGGGGGCCTCCTGGGGCTTCCTGGGACCTCCTGGTGACCTCCTGGGGCTTCCTCCTGGGGGGGATATCTAACATGTGGCCGTCGGGGCCCCCCAAAATGGGGCAGGAACAATCAACGAATCGACACCGGATGTGTATTAACTTGACACGTTCTGATAGGGGGCCTCCTGGGGCCTCCTGGGAGCCTCCTGGGTATCTCCTGCGGACCCCTGGGGCCTGTCCTGGGCGTCCTGCGGCCTCCTGAAGCTCTCTGGGGCCTGGGGCTCCCAGGGTCCCAGGGGGGATTTGTAACATGTGGTCTTCTGGGCCCCCAGGCTGGACCACCTCTTGCGCAGCATCTGAGAGCTCAGAGTTGCGAGAATGTCTTGTGCGAAACGGGCCGGACCACCTTGCGCACGGCATCTCAGAGCTCAGAGTTGCGAGGATGTCTCAGGCGAGATGGGCCGGACCACTCGCGCAGGGCATCTCGGAGCCCAGAGTAGTCAGGATGTCTCCAACGTGACGGGCTGGACCACCTCGCGCGCGGCATTTCGGACCCCAGAGTTGCGACGATGTCTCGGGCGAAACGTGCTGCGAGGAAGTCTCAGGCGAAAACGGCCGGACCACCTCGAGGCGGCGTCCACCTCGAGCGCGGCGTCTCAGAGCTCCGAGTTGCGGGGGCCTCCTGGGGCCTCCTGAGACCTCCTGGTGACCTCCTGGGGCTTCCTCCTTGGCCTCCTGTGGCCTCCTGATTTCCACCTGGGGCTTCCTGAAGCCTCTTGGGGCTCCCAGGGAGGGATATCTAACATGTGGCCGTCGGGGCCCCCCAAAATAGAGGGGGGGGGGCACAAGAGCAGGAAAAACCAACGAATCGACACCGGATTTGTATGAATTTGACACGTTCTGACAGGGGGCCTCCTGGGGCCTCCTGGGAGCCTCCTGGGAATCTCCTGCGGACCCCTGGGGCCCGTCCTGGGCGTCCTGCGGCTTCCTGAAGCTCTCTGGGGCCTCCTGGGGCTCCCAGGGTCCCAGGGGGGATTTGTAACATGTGGTCTTCTGGGCCCCCAGGCTGGACCACCTCTTGCGCGGCATCTGGCAGCTCAGAGTTGCGAGAATGTCTTGTACGAAACGGGCTGGACCAACTTGCGCACGGCATCTCAGAGCTCAGAGTTGCAAGGATGTCTCAGGCGAGACGGGCCGGTGTCTCGGGCGAAACGTGCTGCGAGGAAGTCTCAGGCGAAACGGGCCGGACCACCTCGAGCGCGGCGTCTCAGAGCTCCGAGTTGCGGGGGCCTCCTGGTGCCTCCTGAGACCTCCTGGTGACCTCCTGGGGCTTCCTCCTTGGCCTCCTGTGGTCTCCTGATTTCCACCTGGGGCTTCCTGAAGCCTCTTGGTGCTCCCAAGGGGAATATCTAACCTGGGCCGCTTGGGGCACAAGAGTAGGAAAAATCAACGAATCGACACCGGATGTGTATTAACGTGACACGTTCTGATAGGGGGCCTCCTGGGGCCTCCTGGGAGCCTCCTGGGAATCTCCTGGGGACCCCTGGGGCTGTCCTGGGCGTCCTGCGGCCTCCTGGAACTCTCTGGGGCCTCCTGGGGCTCCCAGGGTCCCAGGGGGGATATGTAACATGTGGTCTTCTGGGCCCCCAGGCTGGACCACCTCCTGCGCGGCATCTGGGAGCTCAGAGTTGCGAGAATGTCTTGTGCGAAACAGGCCGGACCACCTTGCGCACGGCATCTCAGAGCTCAGAGTTGCGAGGATGTCTCAGGCGAGACGGGCCGGACCACCTCGCGCAGGGCATCTCAGAGCTCAGAAGTTCGACGATGTCTCAGGCGGGCTCCCAGGGTCCCAGGGAGAATATGTAACATGTGGCCTTCTGGGCCCCCAGGCTGGACCACCTCTTGCGCGGCATGTGGGAGCTCAGAGTTGCGAGAATGTCTTGTGCGAAACAGGCCGGACCACCTTGCGCACGGCATCTCAGAGCTCAGAGTTGCGAGGATGTCTCAGGCGAGACGGGCCAGACCACCTCGCGCAGTGCATCTCAGAGCTCAGAAGTTCGAGGATGTCTCAAGCGAAACGGGCCGGACCACCTCCTCTCGCGCGGCATCTCCGAGGTCAGAGTTCCGAGGATGTCTCAAGCGAAACGGGCCGGACCACCTCGCGCAGGGCATCTCAGGGCTCAGAGTTTCGAGGATGTCTCAGGCGAAACGGGCCGGACCACCTCTCGCACGGCACCTCGGGGCTCAGAGTTTCGAGGATGTCTCAAGCGAAACGGCCCGGACCACCTCTCGCGCGGCGTCCTGGAGCGCAACTTTTCGAGGATGTCTCAGGCGAAACGGCCAATCCCGGCCAACTCAGAAACGAGAGTTGTGAGGATCACAACAGCACCCCGTTCAGCAAGCTGTTTGGGGAAAAAAAATGGAAATATGGGAGGGAAGCACGGGCACGGCGGGATGGCGGGGTGGCGCGCGGGACGGTGGGCAGGAATGGGAAGGGGGGGAACGAGGAGGGAAGGAGGAGGGAAGGAGGGAAGGAGGAGGAGGAGGAGGAGGAGGAGGAGGAGGAGGAGGAGGAGGAGGAGGAAGAGGAGGAGAGGGAGAGGGAGAGGGAGAGGGAGAGGAGAGGGAGGAGGAGGGTGGAGGAGCAGGCGGAGGATCAAGTGGGAGCAGGAGCAGAAAGAGCGGGACGAGGAGGCCGAGGGAGAGGAGAGAGCGGGGCCGAGGATGCGGAGACCACGACGAGCACGAGGAGGAGCATGGCTGCCGGGAGGAGGGCGCACAGCAGACGAGGACGGCGCGGCAGGGAGGGCGCGCCTCTCCGCTCGCGTGGCGTGCCCCGTGCCTCCCCTGCGTCCTCGCGCGAGCTGCCCGGGCGGGCGGGCCCGGCGACGCCGGCGCCGCGCGTGGCAGTGCTCGGGGGCGTCCGAGGAGGGGATGCGGACTAGGGTCAAGTCGGGCCTGTCCCTCGACAGGAGGAATATTCAAGAATAGCCAAAAATGATACGGGGACGATTCTCGTTGGAGTGTTTGTTGGAGCATTTTCTGAGCATTACTTACTCTTCGTGTGAAGTCCGCCTGTAGAAGGACACGCCCGACCCAAGGCTGAGGGGGGCTGGATCTCATGGCCGGGGCCGTGATGTCTCCCTGGATCTCACGGGGCCTCTTCGGATGTCGGTGCGTTCTTTGGCCCCCTACCCCAGTGCGCGCACGTGCCTCGGGCCATGATTTTTGGCGACGCCCCTCGTCTCGGCATCGCTCGGACGTGTGCATGTTTCCTTCGGCGAGGACCATCGAGGAGCATCCTGCATCATTTGGCGAAAAATCCACGCACGAGACCAACAAAAAACACAGGGAACAGACGTCTGAGCGATGGCCAGTCTTGGGCGCCCATCTCTTTGGACGCCCCCGAAGTGCGCCCGGCGAGAGGCCATCCCGGGTGGTGCTTCTCTTTGTGCTCTCCTCCCCCTCCCTCGTGGTTGTCCTCGTCGTCTTCGTCTCTCCTTCACTCTACCGCTGGGCTTCCCTGCGATGGTGAAAGGTATCCGCCCGCCGCCTTCCGCGCGCCCGAGCTGCTCGTCGTTTCCAGGCTTGCCACGCTGTGGTCCGTTCGGTTCCGGCGCGCGTTCTCCCTTGGCTCCTGCCTCCTGGGATCCGTGTTCTGGCCCCGGGGGTATCACCACATGACCCAGGCCCAGAGCGAGCCATTGGTTCAAGGGCAGTTGTCGGGATGCTTGGGGCGAGCGGAGTGACACATTCGATTCGTATCCGTCTTATTGGGACTTCGGGACACGTGAGCATGCCAGTGCTATTGCTTGTGATCCTCATCCCTCTTCAACTGCTCAAGGCGGATACCGATTTGACTTCTCCTCTGACACAGTGCGCGTGTGCGTCCACCTGTTTCGCGTATTGTTTTTTCGCGCATGTTTTTTATTGTTTTGCGTGTCTTCGTTTTGTTTATGTCGGTATGTTTTCGGCTCTTGCAGACTAGCGATCCCGCTGCAGCATTGACTCCATTTCAGTATCGGTGCTCTGCCCCAGTCGTCTAGAGTGACGTTCTCGCCCCATACGCGGGCCATATTTATGGATCGGATTCCTTCCTCGTCATTGCTGCCCCCCCTCGTTTCCCCTCCTTCGCCTTCCGGTGATCCTCCTGCTCCTCCTTTCCTACTCCTCTTGTTTCTCCTGTCGTTTATCTTGCTCCTTCGTTATCCTCGTCCTGCTGCTCATCCTTCTGCTCTTCCACCTCCTCCTCCTTCTCCTCCTCCTCCCCCTCCTCTTCTCCTCCTCCTCCTCCTCCTCCTCCTCCTCCTCCTCCCATGTACCGAGCCACCCCCATCACTTGAGTTTCACACACCATGTGGCCGCCTTGGGTATCAACGTCCCTTAGGGCACAAC